GGCAACCGGATCCAGGCTGGAATGCGGCAGGAATGGGCTTCGAGGCCACAGTGCGTGGGATGAAAAGCAGGCACCGTCCACAGAGAGTTAAACACTTGCAAATGTGCAGTCCCAGCTGGGGCTTCCATGGGGGCGCTAGGTGGTGGGGAGGGTGTTGGACAGGCTCTAGCGGGTGGAGGCGGCAAGGCAGCAGTAAGGACAAGAGCTCCCTCTGCCAGACACTCTGCGCCCCGTCTCCCCCGTCGTCCTCACAGCAGCCCGCAGGGTGGTCCTGCCATGAGCCATCGGTCATAAGGAGGGCCTGTGCTGGTCTCCCACTCACGAGCAGCTGAACCGTGGGCTTCTGTGGAGGCCTGCTAGGCGTCCAGGTTAGCTGGGGCAGTAGGGTGGGAGGGAAGGAGCCGCCAGAGACCGCTGCTGCAAGCATGAGTCCCTTCCCACCGGCATCCAGAGCCAGAGAGGACATGCTGGCTTAGATCTGACAGTTGGCCAGGGGTGGCTGAGGCTGGCCCTTCCCACGGTGGTAGAGGTGGACCGGACAGACCCCACTTCCCACCCACAGACCTGGGCCGCTGCAAAGAATCTGGTCATCCTAGCAGGCCACAGCTGGGAGAGGAGGGGGGCTGAGGAGAGAGGACGACGTGGCAGAGGGAGGGTCCCAGTCCAGTCCTCCGCCAGACGATGCCCTCTGAGCCCAGGAGGGGGCTTTTGTTTCTTGAGTACCAGAACCAGGACTGACCCTGGCTGCTAGTGGCCAGACATGAGCCAGTGACAAGACCTCAGGCCGGGGACACCATGAGGAGGGGGCCGCCAGCAGGCCTCTGGCTCAGGGCTACTGCTGGGAAGGCAGTGAGTGGCCTCGGCCCCGGGTTTTGTGCTCCCCCAAAACAGCACGCTGCTGGCCCCGGTGCGTGCGGGCCTCTGACTCAGGTCCTCCCAGACCCGCTTCTGGCCACCTGGAGGGGGCTGGGGAGGCTGTCGGGTGTTGGGACAGTGGCCCTCAGGGCAGCCCTCCCCACCCCAGGCCTGCAGGGACTTCCTGGAACTAGCGGAGACACACAGCCGGAAGTGGCAGCGAGCTCTGCAGTATGAGCATGCGCAGCGCCTCCACCTGGAGGAGACCATCGAGCAGCTAGCCAAGCAGCACAACAGCCTGGAGCGGGCCTTCCGCAACAGCACCGCCGGGCGGCCCGCCAACCCCACCAAGAGCTTCAGCGAGGGTGAGTGGAGCCGGGCAGCCCCAGCTCCCAGGGCAGACCGCCGTCTCTCTGCCTGGGTTCAGACCCTCAGAAGAAAGGTTTGGTGAGCCCAGGCAGCTGGGCTGTGGGCCCCATTAGGAATGGACTAGACACTGGCCGACCGGCCAAGGAAGTCATGGAGAAATCCGGGAAGGCTTCCCAGAGGAGGCCTCCAAGCCAGAGCCACAGCTGTGCATAGGCTGCCGCTGCTGTGGGCCCGGTGCAGGAGCAGGGAGAGGAATGGGGTAGGGTGGGGACAGTATGGAGAGGGACAGGGGGGGCTCCAGGCGTCCTCGGATGAGCGAGACACACGTGCCGAGTGACAAACCCCGTGTGTCCCCAGGAAGCTTCTTGACTTCCAAAGGAGAGGACAGTGAGGAAGATGAAGATACCGAGTACTTCGATGCCATGGAAGATTCCACGTCCTTCATCACCGTGATCACTGAGTCCAGGGAGTCCAGGTGGGTGGCTCGGCGCTCGGCGTTCGGCGCTCCGAGTGGATGGCAAGCTTGCTCGGAGTCCCCAACCACAGCCGGCTGTTTCCGCCGGCCCTGTCTTCCCACCGCCAGCACGACCCTCGGGGTTTTCTCTCACGCACACCTGGCTCCAGGCGGCGTGCTTGCTCAGCTGGATCCTGCTCCTCCTGAAGCCGACAGCGTCAGCCATCAGACGTATCATAGAGTTCCACCGAGAAGGAGAGAGGGGCCTCCTTGGCAGGATAGCCTCAGTTCCAGCTTGGGC